CTACTATTACTACTACTACTACTGCTACTACTACAACAACAACAACAACTACTACTACTACTACTACGACGACGACGACGACGACTACTACTACTACTACTACCACTACCACTACTACCACTACTACTACTACGACGACTACTAATTACTACTGCTACTACTACGACTACTACTACGACTACTACTACGACGACTACTACGACGACCATGTACTGTATCGCAAATATGTCTTCGTTCGTTCCAATGTTTGTGATATGACCAATGGCACCTGCTGTCGTAGTCGCGTGTTGATTTGCTGGCTTGGAAACTTTGAAGCCCATCAGCTGAGGAAGGTGTTGCGGGAATTTGCATATTTCACTCGCATTTCGGACGAGGATTTAGACAAGGAGCGGAAAGTTGTCTTGGAGGACCAGCTTGCCCACACGCAAGATGTCGCCAGGATATAGGAATGGCCCCTTTGCTCCTTGGAGGAATGGCGTGAAAGCAGGAATGCCCAGGGTCGCCTCAGTGAGCGGTACATCCAGGCCACATGAATTGACGGGGCGTGTTGTGCGTGGCGAGTTCGCTTGGTGAATCTTCGCTAGGCGCTGTGTGGTGCTGGTTGCAGATATTGTGAACGACTTCCAATCGGGAAGCTTGGAGCATAGAGATTTGCAGGCAGAGGTTCGACATGTTTCGTGGAAAGGAAGGAGCACATCATCCGGGCGGTGTCATCCCAAACGCTTCGACGCTTCTATCAAAAGTAACTTGGACCGAATTTGCAGAGATGGATTGCCATTGCATTCTGTCCACTGTCCCGGCGGTTGTCCAGGATGCAGTGTGTTGGTCGAAGGTTCTACCATCCAGCACGTATGGCTCTGGTTGCCGTGGGTGACTTCGATGCGCCTTGGGTGGAGATGCGAATCAAGGACTGAAGACTGGAAAAGACTGCCGCAGTTCGTGTTGTGTTGAGCAGTTTTTTCCGCAAGGAGCTCTTCGACATTCTTCCAGAGGACTCGTGATTCCCGCTTTCGACGGTCCAACAGATTAGCCATCTTCTTGCTTTGCTGCCGAGGACATTTCTCCACTTCCCCGATGCCCGGTGGCTGCAGCACCTGAGCGTCCGAGGCATGCGGCATGTTGACATCGCCGTTTCGTGGAGCGTGGGTGGAGGGAGGAGGTCGAGGAGTGCCAGCAAGCGGAAGAGGAAGGGAGAGGAAGAGGCAGTGGCAGAGCGCCGCCGCGACAGCTCCGAAAGATGGGGGTTTGGCAAAGCGCATGTTGAGAGCCAGGCAGCCAGGCTTGGCTTTCGCACTTCGTGAAGGGACGCTGTCCAAGCTCGATGCGTCTGGCAGGTACACCGTGCCAAACTCTCAGGGCGTCCGGGACTTGGCAGGTCAATGGGCTCGATGGCTGTGTTTCGCTTGTGTTTTCAGATCGAGGTTCGTGTGGCCAGCAGCACAGACCCGGAGCTCAGTTTTGCCCAGAAACTTGGCTTTGCTGGATGTGGCATCGCATGTTATCTCATCCACCATGCAAGTGCGGAACTTAGGAGCATGATCGATTGCAAGCGGCCACGTCTTCCATCCTGTTGAGTTTCTGATTCTTGGGTGTGGTTTAGGGGCTTGTCCAGCGCAGCTTGGGGAGCCGGGGATGCGCAGGCGCCAATACCGGGTAGGCAGCCAGCAAGGTGAAAGCGGCGCGGCCATGCACTCCGCGGTCCTGCCTTCATCCTGACTTACAAACACGGGGCCTTGAAACCATAAGCACCCAGTGCCGAAAGCCAATCTCATCACCTACATCTCTTCCCTGGCTTTGAGCCGAGCAGATCTGGGTAAAATGGGATGCGAAAGACAAGAAAGTCGGAAGTTGGGAGAATTGAAGCCTTTAGTCCTTGAACTAGCATGGGCCAGGGATCGCTTTGGCCTGGAACGCAGGTGATGGCCATGAGCGGTGAATTTCAGAAACGGCAGCTGCAACACAAAAAAAGAAAGTGTAACAGCAACTGCTCGGACAGAAAGATTCGGCAGAAGGCCGGAGCCCATGCAGGGTGCAGGATTGTGATCCGTTCTACCTGGCAGGTACACCTGTCCGCTTCGTCCGTGATGTTCGCCGGCGGATCACGGAGCAATGGCCAAAAACACTAGAAGTCCTTTACGCACAAGAGCTGTGAGTTGTCATCGCGGTCCTACACAGATGTTCCCCTCAGGAAGACCTTTTCCACCGCGCCTTCAGTGCAAGGTTGCTGAGGCTGACCTTGCAAGGCCCTTTGGAAGGAGAGGGCCGAGGTTTAAGAGCCGTGGAGGGGGGGGGGACATCCTGGTCGCATCAGGAGGTCCGCGGGACTTCTTCTCTGCGGGCACGGACACCTCGGACCCCTTGCCCGCCCTGACAGGGCCTCAGGGCCTCAGGGCCTCCGCCAGCGGAGCTCTGCTGCGGTGAGTTGATCCGGCGGTTGTGGCAGGAGCCCACTGAGCGCAAGCCTGGCGCCACTGCCGGGTCGCGTTCGCCCAGCCATCGCCAGCTTGCTAAGGCCGCCGCGCGCCGCGTCCGCCGCGTCCGCTGCGCATCCGCTGAGATCTGCTGTCCTGGTTTCAGGGAGCTCGAGCGCATTCGCCGATTTGGCTTTCATGTCGCGGAGGTGGCAGGGGACGTGCAGCCTAGCTTCGCTCTCCACGGTGGGCGCAGCAATCAAGCTTGTCTTCTGTTCTGGGGTGAATGCTGTAGTATACAGCACGACTAATGGCGAGTGTCCTCAACTGACACATTGAGAGCTTTCTCGAGCTTTCTCATTCTCAGGTAGGACTCTAGACCAGTTGAAGTGAAGCTCAACTTTGGCTGAAGTGTCGGATTGTGCTCGTCGTTTTTGCTCGGCAGGTGCTGCGGGCGAAACGATCCATGCTTGCCGAGTTCGAGGAGGTGGTATACGGGGATGATCGGGGATGTAAGGGGAGAGCGGAGGGGCGAAGGGCGCAGACGGGGCAGACGGGGCAGACGGGGCAGACGGGGCAGACGGGAGAGCGGCCAGAGCGAGGAGAGGTGTGCGCCAGTGCCCTGCAGCGGTGAGCAAAACAGCGAAGCTTTCGAAATTAGCCGCCGAGAGCCCGAGAGCCTTGGACACTCTCGAGCATTCTGCAAGTTTACTTTCGCCCTGTTCCTTGAGTCTGCAATCCGACAGAGAAACCGGCAGCTTGGCACTGGTCTTTCAGCGGGCCGGCTGGCTTCAAACTGCAGAAAGCCCGGCAGATAAGGGTGAGACGAGTCTGAGGGAAGAAACGAGGCGCCGGATAGCTTTGATTTCTTGATGGCAGGAGTACATTGAGCGGGAGCAGCGGCCATCCGATGGCTTTGCGGAAGAGCTGACTAGTTTTTTTTTGGACGAGGAGTGTCCCCGCCTGACCGAGTCTTGTGACCAACGTGCTGTAGAGAGGTCCCTGCGTTCCCCGAGGACCATGCTCCTGGCGTAGAGGATCGCGCGCGCTTGGCGTCGGTCTTGCTTCCCCGAATATCCAGCGAGGAGGAAGCGGTTGTTGAACGTACAGGATCTTATCTCATTCTTTTGGTGCTGGCTTTTCCCAATGGGATGGCTGCACAACAGTCGTACTATGAGACCGAAACTGTCGCATGTCGCAGGTGTCAAACGTTTCCAAGTTGTATATCTTCGAGGACAACGTCGTGGTGAAAATTGCATCTCCATGGCAAGAAAGTTTAAATGTTCGGGCATTGCCGGGCCACATCTTAACATTTGCAGACGACGGCACGGGCTTCGTTGTAGCAAGCTTTGCGTGGCACGTTAGGGCCTTGCTGCAAGCGCTGAGGCCACCCCGTTGATGTCTCTTCGAAGTCCGGCATATACTGCGTGGAGTACTTTGCAGGCCTGAGAAGATCCAAGTGCTTCCGTTGCACACACAGCGCAAAAAGCGCCAAATGTGTTTGGAGGCAATATAGAGCTGTGGATTAGAGACAAAGGTGGAAAGGGTCAGCCACACGCTGGATGCAAAAAGCCAGCCATTTACGACTACAAACGGTCAGCGGTTTGGGTCCAGCTTCAAAACCCCGTCGATTTAGCTTCGTGTTGATACGGCTCAACCGGACAAAAAACTACAAAATTGATATCCTCGAAGTTCAGGGTTGAGAAATTTCGGCCACGGCTCCCAATCCTCGGAGTTCAACGTTATAAAGACAGACTTCTTCTGATTAAATCATGGCAGCCCAGGGCGCAATCCTGATAAGTGATACATGCTCTGTTTGTTCTTACACATAAACACGCCATCAGTCCCAGGCTCCATGCTCGGATCGGAGTTCCAGGTTGATGAAAGTTCTGATTTCAGTTTGGCGCCCCAACGTGTACACCAACAGTATCCAACAGTCCCAGTAATGGTTCTTGCCAAAGCCCTTTCGCAGGCCTGCCGTCAATTTCGCATTCCGCGACCTTCCCTGGACTTGCCCAGCGAGGAGAAGCACGAAACTTTGTGCTCATGTCGTTGGCAGTCTGAGGGCCACTGAACTCGCGCTGAGGTCGGCTACGCACTGCCAGCCCTGATTAACCTGCTACATTCCTCACACATATTCTCGCACTAGCAGCAGCACTCGCACTAGTACGGTAGTACGGTGCCAACATTGTTAATAGTGCTCTTGCTGTTGATGCTGCTGCCACTGCCACATGCGGTACTCAGCCTGCGCGCAAATCTTCCCTCGAGCTGTCGTGCTGCTGCTGCTGCTGCTGCCAGTGCCACTACTGATGCCACTGTAGCGCAACAGCAACTACTGCTGCTGCTGCTGCTGCTTCGGCTACTTCTGCTGCTGCTACTACTACAACTGCCACTACATACTGCTATCACTCCTGCTATGACTACTGCTTTTGCGACTGCGAATGCGACTGCGGCTGGATGCCTGGATTTCCGCACGGCTTATTTCATCCTCTTATTTCCATTCCGCTAACGAACCATTAATAAAAGAGCAAAAGTATTGAAACAAATGTAATGGAACGAAGTGAAGTAGAATGTGAGTTCATCCTTTTGTTCTTTTGCTAATGGCTCGTTCTTCTTGGCGTTCCAGGATTCTATAATGTAAGATCTAGGTGTATGAAAGAACTGAATTCCTAATAACATATCTTACAACGAACATATAATGATAGAATCTTGGAATTTCGTATCTTTTCCGTTTATTTCGTGCCACCGGTTCCCGTCTTTCATTTCTTATCACCTGGCATGAAAAGACAAAGGACATAGGGAAAGACATCTACTGTAGTAGTATCACTCCCAGTGCTCGCCACGACCGCTTCGGATATTTTCAGACCAGGGCTTGCGAAGACCCCAAGCAGTGTCAGGTCGAGATCGAAGGCCCGGAGCCAATGCAAGTGAAACCAAACCAAACTGAGCACCCAACCATGAAATCAAAGCCGTATCTAAGCCGTCATAGCCCTTTCTAACGGAAAGCAAAACTGACCCATGAAGCAACAACACATTATTTGAACGTCAAGTGGTTTCAGTGGTGTCTAACACGAAAGGCTTGTCGAGCCATAGGCCGTGTGTAACCACAAAAACCTTAGCGCACAATGAGCCCCTACAGTGCGGGCTGTGTCCTAGCAACTTGGGAGGTAAGAAATGGGGCCCTACTGAAAAATTGTGACAAATCAATCGTTTATATGATATGACGCCAGAAGACCAGGTTTCCCGCCGACAAGCTGATGCACACACATGTTTTTATGCGGCGGCGCAGCTCTGATGGTTCAGGGACCTCTGCCCATAGCGGTAAGCGGGTTCTCTGGAGGGCTGGCTGGCTTTCTGTTTCAGGCACTTCGAGAGGGATTCGAAGTGCCGATTGCGCCTCCTGAACCTCTGATTGTGCCGCCTGATTCTCATTTGCCTCCCGTCGAGCAGCAAAGATTTGGGCGTCGCTGCGGTATCTTTGCGTTGCCCTTCTCTTTGGCTGGGCCTCATTCTGGGCTTGCCCATTGGACCTTTGCTCGATTTAGCTTTTGTGCTGAGGCTGCTCCTTGCTCGGAGCATTCGGCGACTGCCGATGGTCGTGCTTCCTACCGAGCTGTACAGGCTCTAGTTTGGAACCCGAGGTTGAATTTCTTCGGTTGGCTTTGGCTAGATTGGAAATTCGGCTGGCAGCTGTTGAATCTGAGTCGCGTCGTAGCTCAGCTGCTGTGCCCCTGCTGCGGCCCGCTCTTCAGGATATCACATGCCGGAACGTCCGGCAGCTGTTCTCTCGGCCCGAACCCCGTGTGACAGTAGGAGCTTCCCTGACGGTAGTTCTGCTGAAAACCCCGGCGATCCGAACTTGGATTTCCGAACGTCTGTGCCCCATAACGTGGGTCGTTTTTTTTTGACCGGGGCTTTGCAAGGCGATTATCGCCAGAGTTCCGGTAGAGATCGCTTGAGGTTGTCTTCGAAGTATTACATCATCTTGCAAGGATTCGAGGGAGAGCCCTTTTCAACTCCGAGGGTCGTAGCGTCATTCTCGGAGTCAAGAGCATTTGCTTCCTAGGAGAGGACAAAGGCGCATCAGTCTTTGTTGGACTCCCGAGCCAAGCCGAAGCGCGAGTTGCATTGACCATTGCTGGCTGGAGCTGGCGTCGTGATGGGGTCGACTCCGGAGGAAGGTGAGTTGCTGGGGGCAGCTACGCCCCGCCTCTTCTTTGGCTGCTTTCGGATACAGGAGCCCCTTTCACCATTGGAGTCTCCTCTTCCTCCTGTCCGCTGACTCCTTGACTGTGTCAGGATTTCGATTCATAGCCCTCATTCGACTTCCCGAATATTGGTTTGCGTGAACCTCGATGAGAAGAGGAGTGTGGCTATCGATGTCCCGATCGTTGAGCATGTAGGCGGCTGAAGAAGAGTTGAGGACCCATTCTGAAACATTGACCTTGAACTCCCTCTGTCCATCGGGCCAACCGTTCCCCTGATCATCATCCATTGAATCTCCCCACTCAAACGTTGTAGCGATCATCGGGTCCAAGGTTGGACTGCCATGGTAAGCGCCCCCTTCTGGACATCTCCACGACTGAGTATCTGCCTAAAATGCGGTTGTCCCAATGCGTCATACAGCCGTTCCGGAGGCGAGACCTCCTGCCCTTTGCACTCCCGTAGGCAATACAGTGAGAAACGGCTAAGACTGATATCCAAGGTAACCACGAAGGGCTGAGTGGTGTCGAAAGTCGGATAAAAGAGCGGGAGACATAGGCTTCGCCCCGCTTCCCTGTCCAGTGCTGATCAGGTCCACGCAACAACAGCTGGGCTCTGTTCGCCGTGTTGTCTTCTCCCACGGTCCCACGACCGCCAATAGCAAGGCAGTGGCCTCCATGAGCTCTGGGCTTTGATGAATGTGCCAACGGCGGTAGAAAGCCTCCGTGACATACTTCTCATCCACACCATGCTTCGACCAAGCCGGCGGGAGTCCCTTGCGTCCCGAGAAGTCCGACCACCTCATATCTGACCCGTGTAATCTTTTTTTTTGGCGTGGTCAGGCCTCGTTGACGGCGGCTGCCGCACTCGGTCCTAAGGAAATCTACAATAAGCAACAAAGAACAAGAAAGCTACAAAAAAGCGGTGAAAAGAGCTGCGACTTACAGACTTAGCCGGAAAGAGTCGTTCAGCAGTTAATTACCCGTCTCATATCAACATCGGCCTCTCTCAGATGCCCCGCTTTCCAG